GCCCGATATCCCAAGTTTTGTGGCAAGGACTTCAAGTTATCTCCAATTTTAAAAATATATAGTACTCCCTCCGTTCCAAAATATAAGCAACACTCCACTATTTAAAAATCTCAGAAACTCTTATTTATTTTTGCATTTTCATTGATTATTTGATAGAATAAAATATTCTTGTCACCTCTTATCATGTTCCTCATCATCATCATCATCTCCTTCCGTCCTCTCCTTCCAGCCCCCACCCTTCCCCTCTTTTTTTCTACTTTTTTATTCCACTTTTATTATTACTCCGTATTATTTTGTTAATTTATCACTATTATTATTATTAGTTATTATTATTAGTAAATAGTGGTTTTACTATTTTTTTCTTCTTCCAATTCTATTATTATTATTCTTAGTAATATTAATTTATTATTATTATTAATTTACTATTTTACTTCTTCCATTTCTATTGTTATCATTAGTAATTTATTTTTATTATTAGTTATTAATTTCAATTTATTATTATTTGACAAAGTTATTTTTATCTATTTCGATTTACAATACTCGACTAAAGTTATTGTTATCACAAATTTTTTGAGAATTGGGGTTAACTGTAACATGTGACTTAACTTGAGACGGAAGGAGTAACACTAAAACACTCATAAAAAGATTGTATGTCTCCATTAACTTTTCTCAATCTCCCTTTTTTGTAAAAAAAAAGCCTAAAACATTTTAAATCATTAATTTAGATTTCACTTATAGTAATCTATTTATATAAAATTTATAAATTTAAAAATACCTATTTACTTGAATTGGTTTTAAATTAAGCACGGTAATTCACAATAATAAGATGAAATTTAACACTATTTTTATTATTTCATATTATATTTTGAGAAATGGGAGATGCTTCCCCCGGACTCCATCTTATTATTGCTTTAAGTCCGATCCTCTCATTTTCTAAAACATAATGACTTTTCAAATATAGGACCATATGTTTTTATTTCCCAATCTAGGATCTTTGGTCATTATCAATTAGTTATTATTCAAGTAAATATCTATTATTACTAGACATTATTCTTCCCACTAGACATTGTTAAGTCCTATTTAGAAAATAAAAAAGTTTAAGTCCTACACAGAGAAATGGCTTATGTTTTAGTCCCATTTAGTGCAAATTTCACCTAATAAAAAGCATTAATTAAGAGGGTAATCTATAGCTTTCAATTTTTAAAAAGTTGAGAAAATTGGGGTGTCATTATCAAAAGTTGGAGTGTATGTATCAATTGCCAAAATTATATGGTATATTAATTAAATAAAAAATATTTTGAAAACACTTTAGAAGATAATCTAATAAAATAATTTATGTATCAATATTTAATATTAATTTTATATAAATTTTTTTCAACTTTATCAATTTTGATTACAAAAATTTAAATTTGGACAAACACTCGATGACATATATAGTATATAACACAATATTTACTATAAAAATTGCATTACTCGTAAATATACATTTTGTATAGATATAATGAGTATTATGTGATTAAATTTTATTTTTAAATTCTATATTAACTTGTAAATAAATTAAATTAAAAATAAATTCAATTAAGTTTCATTATTAACAATGTGACTAAGACCCTGTTCCGTTCAACTTATTTTTTCTTATTCTTATTAAAATCAGATCAAATCAGATCAGTTCGAATCAGATAAGTTCAGATCAGAACAAATTAGATCAGATCAGATCCAATCAGATCAGATTATACCAGATCCAATCAGATCAGACCAGGCCAGATCAGATCCCATAAAGAATTATTATTATTATTATTACTATTACTATTATTATTGTTGTTGTTGTTGCTGTTGTTGTTGTTGTTCTTATTATTATTATTATTATTATTATTATTATTATTATTATTATTATTATTATTATTATTATTATTATTATTATTATTATTATTATTATTCTTCTTCTTCTTCTTCTTAAAAATGAAAAAGAATAAACTTTAGAAACAAGTTAAATAGAAAAATGAGAAATTAATCCTTAATTATTAGACGTCGAACAAATTATTTTTAAAATACATTGACAATGTCAATCTAATTCTACTTTTAAAATACATTTTTATTGCTACCTGTAATTTGAGTTTCTAAAGTTTTGATCTTTTATAAGGATGAGATATTTTAATAAAAATACTATATCTTCTCTGTATTGATTTTATATAAATTAAATATTTATTCTAATGTATGTATGAACTAATTATTAAAATATTAAATCAATATTCTTATTTCACAAACAATGATCATGAAATAAAAAATATTTTTACATTAAAATATGAATGATTATTCTAATATATAAATTACCTAATTTTATTTTATTAAAATATAATTATAAAATAAAAAATATTGATTATATTATAATATGAATTATCATTACAATTTTCAAATGTTATTATAAACTCAAATCAAATTATTGATTTGAATTTTAAATCAAATCATAATTAATCAGATCAGATCCAATCAGATGAGATGAGATCAGATCAGATTCAATCAGATCAGATCAGATCAGATCAGATCCAATCAGATCATATCAGATCAGATCCAATCAGATCAGACCAGATCCAATCAAATCTGATCAGATCAGAACTACAAAAAATCAGATCAGATCAGAAAAAATAAGTTGAACGGAACAGAGCCTAATTAGAACCACAAAAAATCAAGTACTCTGGATCATTTTTTATTTTTTACATTTTTTGTTTTTTAAATTTTATATTTGGTTTTGGGTTAGTGTTTATTGATTAAAAAAATTTAGAGGTATCCCAAGATGGTGTATACAACTGTGCAGCACCTTCTCACAGACACACACATATACTCATTGTCTGTGTTTCACAGAGTGTTTGCATGTCTGTGAAAATGTGGTGTACTACACCACCTTGAGGTACACCTAGCAATCCCTTATTGATGATCCTTTTGTTTGGTTACTTTTTAGAGTTTTGGTTGTGTTTTCCGTTTCTTTCCTAAAATGTTTCTATTGATTCTTTGATCGAACATGTATTACCAAAAGTAAAAAAAAAATTGAGGTAGAGATTCATTTAAAAGTGTAACTTAAATTTTCAAATTAAAAATTAATTTTAAAACAAAATTTACCTCAAATAACCTCATTTTTTATTATTTGTAGCATGAAATAAATCATTTTTTTCAAATTAAGTGATCGTAAGGTACTTAGGGCCTGTTCTTTAGAGCTTGAACTCTTAACTTTCAGTTCCTTCCAGTTCCTTCCAGTTCTTTCCAGTTTCTTCCAATTTCTTCCGTTTTCCTCCAGTTTTTTCCAGTTCCTTCCAGTTTTTTCCAATTCCAGTTCCTTCCAGTTCTTTCCAGTTTCTTCTAGTTTCTTCCAGTTCTTCCAGTTTTTTCTAGTTCCTTCCAGTTTTTTCCAGTTTTTTCTAGATTCTTCCAACTATATTTATTTTTTTCAAATTCTTTCTACTTTCTGACAAATCACTCTAAAAAAATATTATTATTACATCTTTTTTTAATTACAACTTTTATGTTCATAACTATAGTTTATAAATTATTTCATTTTTTCATCTCACTATTTTTATGATTTACATTCATTTTTCGAGTTTCTTCAACTTTTTAATATGAATAATACCGTTTTTTTGTATATTAATATATACATGAAAAATTAGGAAACTATTTAAAAAATTATGGATAAATAGTTATATAGAATTTTTTTAATCTAAATTTATATAAGGTAAATTACATTTAAGGGCATGGAAGAACAATATTATGAAAACCAAGAGAAAACTACATTTTGAAAAAGAAAAAATGACCCAGGAAGTGTAATATTTATGCTAATTTTATATTCTAATTATTTTTTTAAACTAGCTTTTTATATATGAAAAATAATGCTCGTAATATTTTTTTGTCTTAAAGAAAATCATTAAGATAACGTGATAACAGCAGCATGCACCACCACCACCACCAACAACAACAACAACAATAATAATAATACTAATAATAATAATAATAATTTATAACAACAAGAATCAGAATGAGAATAATATAAAATCACATATAAATTTTTTTAAAAAAGATTTTTAAGACTTTTCAATTTTTCCAGTTTTTTCAGTTTCTTTTAATTTTTTTTTTCAGTTTTTCCAATTTCTTCCAGTTTCTTCCAATTCCTTCCAGTTCTTTCCAGTTTCTTCCAGTTCTTCTAGTTTCTTCTAGTTTCTTCCAACATCCAGCTCTTTTTTTCCAGTCCTAAAGAACAGGCCTTTAATGGTTACCCAAATCATGCACTACTCAGTACTCACTAGTAAATGTGGGCTCATCATCACAATAAAATATTAGATTATCTTAGGAAGACTAATTAAATAGATAAATTTAGCTAAATAGGACTAAAACATAATGACTTTTCCAATGTAAAACCATATGTTTTTATTTCCTAATGTAGGACTTTTGGTCATTATCAATTAGTCAGTATTCAAATAAATGTATATTATTACTGGACATTAATCCTCCCACTAGACATTGTGAAGTCCTATTTAGAAAATAAAAAAATTTAAGTGCTATATTAAGAAATGACTTATGTTTTAGTCCGGTTTAGTGCAAATTACACTCCCAAAAAACTTCCATTCATATGGTACCCATATTTTGATCTTTTTTTATGTTTATTATTCATTTAATAAATTACGAAGTGATATAATATTACTCCATTTGGTAAAATTTTATTTTTAATATTATTTCAATTTTATATAAATTAAATTAAAAAATAATTTCAGGAAACATTATACACGGTTTGGGAAGGAAGAAAAAAATGGCAATGTGAAAAATACCTTTGTACATTGTCAAAAAGAAAAAGTATTTACCTTTTGGGATATGTCAAAAGCTATATATATATATATATATATATATATATATATATATATCACCCCACCTATCGAATTGTAGTGCAATACATTAGATATTTGGAGTGCAAAATCTTGTGTTGCGCAATTAAGCAATTAGTATAGACTATACTGCGAAAATGAGGGGCTTTTCCAAATACACCTTCTTGGTTCTCGTCCTTGCTTTTGTTTCAGGTAACACAATAACATAAATTTATAGATGATCACATCTTTTAAATTTCATATTTGTGTAATAGTCTCTTCGTCCCATAATATATTTTTCGCGTTCAAAAAGGATGAGATTTAAAAAATGTAAAATTTTGATGATTCTTTTCAATTTTCCTTTACTTTATTGTATCATTTATATGATACGAAAAATGATGTGATTGATAATTTAATACTGGATATATATGATGTGATAGACAAAATTAGACTCATTTTTTTAAAACGGAAGAATATAATTGATAATAAATCACCAAAGTACTAGTAAAATATAGATTGTGATTTCATGGTATTTTTGGTACTATATGTTGATATTATAACTCATATTTTGAAATAAAAGTATGAAATTCTTATTTTGATACTTAGCCTATATTTTAAAATTAGAAAAAGACTAAATTATAAATAAAATATACTACGTAGAAAATATATCGAAATAGGAGTTTCATATTTTGAAGATAATGAATTGTTTCGTTTATTAATTTGTTATGTTTTATTTTTGTTTTTTGTTTGAGGGCAGAATTGGGGAAGATGAGTGTTAGGGGAAAACTCATAATCCCTTGTCCCGATAATCCGCCCCCACCAGCAAAACCTGTGGAGGATTATACGTCGTGCGGCAAGGACGCCAAACCTAACGATTTTTTTTCTTTAAATCAGAGCAATTGTACGAGCACATGTCTCATTAATTATGGTGCTTTTTTCGTGGGGATATGTAGTTTCGATAACCTAATTAATAAGCCAGTCTGCGCCTGTGCTTACAATTGCTAGTTCCATTTACTTATTAATGTAACCATCGAGGGCAATTATAACCTCCTTTAATTTTTGGATTTCATACGATTTTTCCCCGGATCGTAAAAAACATGTCGCACCGCAATATGATCTTATATGACTATAAACACTTGTTTTGCCTGTATTTAATAAGTAGCATCATCATCGTGCGTTACACGACCAACATTTTAAATATGAAAGTAAGGGGGTTGGAGTTGCATCGTAATCGGGAGTCAAGGGTTCAACCTATGCCTCCGTGGCCTCAAGGGCCCAATATTAGGTATTTCGAGACCACATCTTACGAGACAGTGATATACTATGTAAATGGTATGGATCCGAATTATGGAAGTGCACTTAGACATGACCATTAGACAAAGGGCAATTTTTGAATGTCTACAAGCACCACTATATAAATAAAATTAAAAAATTATTTGAGGAAACATCATATATATTCATGGGAATGAAGAAAAATTGGTTTGTGAAGGAAGAAGAAATTGACAATGTCGAAAATACGTTTGTGCATTGTCAAAAGGAAAAAAAAGATATATATATATACCTTTCGGCACATGTCAAGGTTTATATATTTATCACCCCTCCTATGGAATTGTAGTGCAATACATTAATATTTGAAATATTTGGAGTAGTGTAAAATAAAATTTGAAAAATGCTAAGTCACAAACTACACAAAGTGATAAAATTTAGGAAGGGAAAATAATTTTTGGATTGGGTAATGATGGGTAATAACCCAAGGATACCCGGTTGGTTCACCGAACAGCACGCGTCTTTTTCAGCCCGGGTTATTTGACCGGTTGGATGAGGAGACCAGATGCCAATACCCGAAGATTTACTCAAGTGCACCTGGTGGGCCGGTCAGCCGCCTGACCGGTTGAATAATCAGAGACGTGCTTGACGTGCTTAGGATTATTATAAATACCCTTAAAAGCCTCATTTGTGAGGCATGTTTTGAATTAATCTACACGGCTTGTATTTGTAATAACTCCTATTATCATTAATAACAAACCGGGTTACAGGTGATTCCACCTACAACCCTTCCGATTACTCACACTTAATATTTGCGTGGTAATTTACACCATCAAATTGGCGCCGACCGTGGGACCTATTACAAAAAAGTCATGGCCAGTAATCAGGAAACCGTGATCTCACAAATTTCTACTCCCGCTGAGAATGTCATTTCATTCCCGGGAGGAAGTTC